CTGCGCCAGGAAGGCGACGAGGTTCGCCGTGGCCTCCGCCCTCGTGAAGTGATTCGTCAGGGCAGCAGCGATGGCGTCGCTGGTCTGTTGGGTCGTGCTGTAGCCGCCGAGCTGGGCGAGCACCCAGGACTCGCGGGGAGCAGCAGGGCGTCTGTAGGTGTCGCAGGTGAGCTGCAGCGTCCAGTTGTCGTTGACCAGGCCCAGGCCCATTGGGGCGACGGCGTGAAAGTTGCGGATTTGGTTGGTACCTACCAAGACATCCCAGCTGATCTCGCCCTGCCAGGCGGGGGCGTTGACCAGGTTGGTTTCGGCCAAAAGCCCGTCGATGGCGGACTGGAGGGACAGCTGCAGGGCCGTCAGCTCCGCGCCGGTGGCGTAGGGGCCGGCGTTCTGCAGCAGGATCTCCGCATCGTGGCCGTCCAGCCGGGAGTCCTGGAGGGCCTGCCCGGCGTCGTAGGCGCCCTGGGTGACATAGCCGAGCAGCGCCGTGGTGAGATCCCCGGCCGTTTGGTAGCCCGCGGCCTGCAGTGCTGCAAGCAGCGCCTCCGCCGCGTCGAGCCGCCCGTCCCTCAGGGGCCAGCGCGGCGTTGAGGGCCGTCTGCTCGACGAAGGGCAGCAGGGCCGTTGCGATGAGCTGACTCACGTCGGCGGGCGTGGTCCTGAGAGCCACCGCGGCAGTGAGGTCGCTGGCGCTGGCCATGGGGAGCAGGGCCGTGGCGATGGCCTGACTGACGTCGGCCGCTGTTTGCCGGGCNNACGTCGAGGGCCAGCTGGTCCACGACTGACTTGAGCGCATAGGTGGCCGCCACCGTAGCGAGTGTTGCATTGTTGGCACTGGTGATGCTGCTGTTCATAGCGGCAATGGTAGGGTGGTTGGCGAGCTTGAGATTGACGCCGGCGGGCGTGCTCTTGGTGCCGACCTCCACTTGGAGGGCTTCCAGGGCGGACTGGTCGGCCTTGGTGGCCAGGCCCTGGGTCAGGCTCGTGTTGACGGCCGCGAGGCCGGAGGCGTTGGCCAGGATGGCTGCGAGGTCACTGGCCAGAGCGTAGGGGGTCAGTCCACCTGGCCCTGCAGCGCTGCGATGGCTGC